GCTCGGATCCCTGAGTGAGGGGACAAAGATGCGGGATGATGTGGGGACCCCCCCGCCCGGAACACGCAACAATCGCGGGGGCACCCACTGTGAGGGGCAGCGCTTGGTGTGACAGGTTCCCCCGGGGGAGGAGTGGCCCGGGCTGTCGCAGGCCCGGGCTCCGCGCCCCGCGGCTCAGACACCGGCTCCCGGCCGCCCGCAGCCCCCTGAAGAACCCCGGAAGGCTTGTCCAGCGCACGTCACAATCCCCGCCTCAAGCCTCTTTGATAATTCATGAGCACCTCCCCTCATGAATTATTCATAGCCCCGCCCAAGGCTGCGCCTTTCTTCGTTCTCGTTCTGCTCTCGCGAGTATGCAACAGACGCCCTTGGGGGGGGTCCGTGTCACTGGAGTGCCGCACTGTTTCTTTCCCCCTTTGGGGTGTTTTTTACGAAATACATATCAGATTGTGTCTGTCGTGAGCAGCGCAAAATGGTTTCTTCCAGGGGGCGGGGCGGGGAAGGAGAGAGGCTGGGAAATGGTTTCTTCCACCGCCTGAGAGGGACTGTTCGGCCCTGGCCTCCCCCGCGGTATTTGCATTGACGCAGCTGCGCGCCCTGGGAGGAGGGGCGAGGGCGCAGGCGCCGTGGGAAAAGTGAAGTCCGGGGGGGTGGGGAAGGTGCAGGCTCAAGGCTGAGATGAGGGAGCTGCTCCTGCGCCCTGCCTGTGGCCCCAGTTTGCAGTTCTCGCGCCAGGGACTTGCCTCAGGTGGTTTTCTACCTGGTTCCTGATTCACGAGATTCCTGGAGGTTGGGACCCATTTGTACCCAGTGGCAGACCGTCAATCCAGGGCCAGTGGAGTGGTAGTGGAGGTGTCACCCATGACATAGGGCCGTTTTCTCCTGTCCTGGGGAGACTCGGAACAGGTGCCAAGACTCAATCTAGAAACAGGGGCAGGTGTTGGAGCTTGCTTGCCCCCCTCCCCTCCCCTCCCCCATTTGTTCAGGGCAGAAACCTAGGCCTGTGAGGTGGTGCTGGCCCCTTCCTTTCACCAAACCTCAAGTCCTTTGCAGAAGACCTGGCTGCGCCTAGAGCAGTGATGCCCTGCGAGGGCGACCCAGCGTCCTGGCCTGCTTTGAGAGCCCTTCAAGGGTGCCAGGCAGTGTTATTAGCTGGATTAGGTTTACAAACATGATGCCCAAGGAAGACCCAGAGATATGAAACGGAAATCCATAGTTGTGGTGTTTTTAAGTTCTTTGAAACAGAAAAACTGCTCTATTATTATTATGGAGGCAAAAAAGAGTGAAGATAGTTTGCATTTTCCAAGTGGTGCCTCATATCTATCCAGGAGTATTTTGAGTCTAAAAAGTTTAAGAACTGAGCTAGGGAATCTAGATTGAACCCTGGGTGGGAGCAACACTTATACCTAACGAGGGTCATAGGGCCTCTTGGTTAGATGCTAGAAAGTAAGTGTCTAAAGCAGGGTGATCTTGCCTTTTCAGTTACTGTATAGGGGCCAGCTTGGCCTCTTGTGGGCTCAGTGCCTGTTCTTATCAGTTTAAATGTAATTATTGTTGTTACTATTTTATTATTACTTTATCCAACTGTCCTTGATTCAAGGGTTCATGGCACAATAAACTAGATCATTAAATGTGAGCCTATAAATTAATTTTACAATTGTAGCTGTCACTGCTCAATAAAAGTCTTTCTAAAAATCAGGCATAGTCCCTTTGTTCTTGTGGTCTTGGAGAGGGTTGCATTTCAGGAGGAAAGAAACAAGATTTCAATCTATGGAATTTGGTAAAGTAGTGGAAGACATGCACACATTTTTTGCAAACTGCTGTGTAATCCTTTGGAATAAATAAAAGGCTGTTACATGCTTGTGTATTCTCCCCCAAATTCCAATTCATCAGTCCAGACTTATACTTTATACGAGTATTATAGTTGTGCTTGTATTAGTTATTTAGTTGTGTCTGGAAGTCTCCATGTCAGGTATAGTATTAAACATTTATTTAAAAAAATACACTCTGCCTCTATAAGCCTAGCTTATAACAAAGCTGGTTGAAACAAATTGACCAGGGAGTGAAGTTAACAGATCACTTGCCAAAAAGCATATTTTGACACAATGACCATGAGGAGCCATGGTCAGTATATTGCAGACACTGTGGCAGATATACATAAATACTGATTATGTTTCAAGCATGCCATCTCTGCACAATTTGTACTCTTAGATCCTAACTCCTAATAGCTACCCTAATGTTTGGGCCTTTCATGGCAGAAGCAGAGAAACAGAGTATAAGTGAGAGCCTAGCTGTTGATCTTCGTATGTCAGCTACTGCTGAGTAAATCATGTCCAGTGAATATTCCAGTCAGTTCCTTCTTAGCTGCTATCTCTCACAGAAAACTGCAATTGGTAAGTCATCAGTCCTGCTGTTTGTCAGCTCCTAATAAAGGCATCAAGTCAGATCTGGCTGCATATGAAATTCTTAAGGTGTTTGTCTCAGTATGCCACTGACAATGTCTTCCACCCTGCCTAGGAGAGCCAGCTGAAAGAAGCAAGTGTGGCTTGACAAAAGACACAAATGAAAAGTGTACCATTGCAAGAAAGGCTCCTGACCCCTCCAGCTACGGACTATCTTTAGAACTGGAGGTCACATGAGGGTGTTGAAAGAAGACCTCAAACGTGATCATATTGGCTCAATGTGCAGCGGCAACCAAAATAAGCCAATAAAATGTTGGGCATCATTACAGTGGGAACTGAAATCAAAATGAAACACATCATTATGTCGCTGTATAAATGCATGGTGTGCCTGCATTTTGAATACTGTATGTATTTCTGGTCTCTGCATTTCAAAAGGGATGTATGTAGTAGAATTAGAAAAGTTACAAAGAAGGGCAATCAGGGTGATCAGGGGTATGGAGCAGCTGCCATCCGAGAGACTAAAAAGGCTGAGGTCTTCATTTTAGAAAGGAAAAGGCTGAGGGCTGATCCTAGGTACAGGATCATTGCCCTCTGCTATAGAGGAAGGCAACCCCCCCCCGCCTCTGAGGGGTAGAAGTATTATTGGTCTAATCCAATATGGCAATTCTTATGTTCTTATAACTTCTCTTCCCCTGAGAGAAGTGCAAGGAACTTGAGAAACTTGTCCACAAGGACATAATACTGGCTTGGTAACAGATACAGCTTACCTCTCTAGAGACCAAATGGTTGTGTTAAGGCTCCTTCTGTCTGAGGCAAGGTTGCCACATCTACCTATCACAAATGTGTTTCTCTTGGAGATACCTGCAAAGCCTTACATAGTATCCTTTCCATACATACGTTTTGCAGAACATTGTTTATATTTGGCCTGAAGAACAGACTCTCATATTCTCCAAAGTTTGTTTGCAAGGTTAAAAGAAGTGAAATATTCTTATTCTGGAAAAGTTATTTTAATATCCTGGCATCAAATAAATTTAGTTGACCAATTTTTGCATAGAGTTTATTGGATATGGGATTTCATACATTGTGCTTGACAAGTCTGAAAAGTTGCTTCTTTCCTTTTTAGGTATACAGTGCATACTTTTTAGTAAAAGTACAAGCACAACCTTTCCTGTTAAAATCATTTGCTCAGGCCTTGTTATTGCTGCTCATGTCAGCTTCACTCTCATTTTCCCTCTGGGACGCTGCTGAAGTGTCTTTTATTCTAAGAGGAGAACTCTGCACAGATGATATTTTTAGAGAGAGGAAAATTACTTAGTTTTGTAATCTTCTCAGAAAATAACATCATGTAGGATTCTTACCCAGTCGCCACCTCTAAGGGTGAAGTTACCTTTTTCAGGAGTGTCACCCTGAAGCATGTTTTTCATATTTATTTTTCATTATTTTGAATATTTCTGGGAATGTAACTGCCTATATATTTGAAAGAAGCGAATAGACTTTTTGAAAAGTAGGTTATAGCAATTGGCAGTCTGATAGGCACTCTATGTTATTAACATTGTCCCTGAATGTTAATAAAAATATTACTGCGTTTTTGGTTGTAGCTGTGTTGGTCTAAGGACATAGACAGGCAAGGTTCTTTCAGTAGATGTGATATCTTTTATTAGACAAACTGAACAGTTAGAAAAAAATTCTTGGCAAGTTTTCGGGTGCAATCAGCTTTCTTCAGGCATGGAAAATCTGCTGTTCTGAGACTTCAAAAAATGAAAGAGGCTAAAAGTGTGGCAGGATGTCAGTGAAAATGTAATTAGGTAGAATTAGGAAGACAAAAGGTGAAGCAGAGAGGTGAAGTGGGGGAGGGGGAAGAAAGCAGGGGGAAAAAGGCTGAAGGGAGACAGTGCAGTGATAGAGTATAAGGTAGAAAAGAGATTGTCAGGCAGGTACCTGGTGAATCAGATGGCAGGCAGATTGTAATGTGTCATATAACCAATGTCTATACTAAGTCCATGATTTTTTGTATCCAGTAGATTTATGAAGTGAAGTTTGTAGGCTCGTCTACAGAAGGTGTTTTGTAATTTCCCTTTGAGGATTAAAACGGAGAGATTGGAGATGGAGTGATTGTCCTGTGAGAAGTGTGCACCCACAGGTAGTGGGTATTCTTGTCTTTGATAGATTTTTGGTGTGCATTCATTCTGGGGTGCAGTTGTTTGGTTTCTCCAACATATTTTCCCTCAGGGCATTTGTTGCACTGGATGAAATATATAACATTTCTGGAGGTTCAGGTATAAGATCCAGGAATGGTGATGGTTCTGTTGTGGGATGTAGTTATAGTGGGGGTGATGGAGATGTGTTGGCAGGTTTTGCATTTCTTGTCATGGCATGGTCTGGATCCATTGGTTGATGTTGTTTGGGTTGTAGGGAGTTGCTTCTGGTGATGAGGTTAGTGAGGTTCGGTGCTTGTTTGAAGGCTAGGATAGGTGGTTCTGGAAAGATCTCGTTAAGAATTGGGTCTTCTTCTAGTATGGGTTGTGATTGTTTGAGGATTTTCTGTGTAGATTCCAAGGAAGGGTGATATGTCATAACTAATGGTGTGTGATTTGTGGGGGTTTTATTTTTATACTGCAGTAAGTCTTCATGTGGCTCTTTCAAAGGTGTGACCTATCTCTCTGGAGGAGTGTCCTTGTTGGCTGAAGGCCATTTTGAGATTTGTAAGGTGGTGGTCACAGGTATTCTCCTCATGTAAATTTGGTGGTATTGGAGAGCTTGGCTGTATATTACAGCTTTCTTGGTGTGTTTGGGGTGATTGCTAGTTCTGTGTAGATATGTATGTTAGTTTGTGGGTTTCTTATATATGCTGGTTTGAATTTTACCATCTTGGATATTGATCACAGTGTCCAAAAAAGGAAATGCTGGTGTTAGAGTATTCAAGTGATAGTTCGATGGAGGGGGTGCTGATTGTTGAATTTTTGATGGAAATCAGTCAGAGACTGCAGGGTTTCTGTCCAAATGATGAAGATGTCATCTATGTATCTCAGGCATGAATGACGTGCGCCCCCGGTGGCTGGGGGGGCACGGTGGCGCTGGTGGGAGCATGGTGGCGCAGACGCTGCCAGCAGTGTCGGCGGTGGGTGGGGGAGTGGCGATCACCCGCAGGTGCTGCCTTTACATAGAGGGTGCACCGCCATGCTCAGGGGGTGCACGTGCACCTATGTGCACCCCCCGTGCATCACCAATGATCTCAGGTATATTAAGGGTTTGATGGTACAGTTCTTGAGGTAGTAAATAAAATTATTAAGTGCTTGGTAAATTCTCTCACTATTGAATTTAAACCCAGGAATTAGAATTCTACAAGTTTTCAGAGAAACAGAATTCTGATGTAAAGAATGTTTTTTTTTTTTAAATGAATTTGCCCCTTTTATTGAAGCTTTTCACAGATTCTGCATCAATCAATGTAATGCATGTAATGACAGTAAAGGTAATGTAGGTTCTAGGTAGTCCTTAAATAGTAGATTTATCATTATGTCACAAAAGCATTTTACAAAGGATCATTTTCCTTCATTAAGAGAAGGGAAATTTAAGGCAAAAGTGGTAAAATTATTTGCCCTAAGTTACCCAGTATGTAAATGGAAGAGCCAGGAAGCAAGCTCAGACTTGCTTAGTTAAAGTTCAATACTCTCTCTGCATTACCTCCTGTATCACCCAGAACCAATGAGCCCAAATAGTATTTGAGTTTTGTCAAGCTTCTGTCTAGTGTACAAATATAGCTGGGTCTCAAGGAAGTATGTCAACACTGTTGTTGTCATTGCTGGACTATGCAATAAATCAAAATCCAAAGGTAAAATGGGATTGGATTATTTCTATGCAATAATGCAACATTTTTGCCAAAGCTTCACATACTGACAGAATAGGATCCACAATTTGAGTCCAAAATGCATGATATTCATCTATGTAAATATGTTGCCATATTTGGAGTGTTAAACACTGTAATAACATATTTACTCTAATATAGGATTACCCCCAACATTGAAAAAATTGTAAATTTGTTATAATGTCCCAGGTATAGATCTAATTATTGGTGATTTGCCATGAATTTGTTCCTCTCCCACTGGGAAAATTAAGTTTGGGGGAGGGGAGAGAGTTCAGCTCCTGTCTTTCCCCTCTGCCCCACCAGTTTCTTCCCCCTTCACTCCCTTCCCCCTCTCCTTACTGTCAGACCCTGCTCTTCCTAGCACAGAATTGAAGAGCAAATCTGAAAATATTGACTTAGTTTATTCAGAATTGGGGCATTTTATCTTTTTTTTGAAACTGTTGAAAGCTTTAGCCCAGGTACTCTATAAACATACTTTTAAGCAGCACTTTTATAGTTACTTATATACAGCAGAAACTATGTATGATAATAGTTCAGTGACTAGTTGAATAGGTCAAATCAAGCCAAAGGGTTTGTGATTTACCATACAGTTCATTGTGCTGGGCCCCAGAAGAGTCAATAGTATTTAAAGCCATGGTGACCCTTAGTTCGGTATGTGTGTGTGCTGCATACCTCCCACCCTCATGAAGGCTCTGTGTGCTAATTAGCCCCCACACTCATGACTAGAACTGGGCATTCTTGTCATGAGTCCTGGGATCCTCCAAAAATGTATATGCAGATGAAGCATGGAGTAATTTGGCTTGGCACCACCTCATGTGGGAGTGGGGCTGCACTAATTATATGCAGCAGTCTGAGAGAGGGGGCAACAGAGGGATTCTGTGGGAACTGTTTTGGGCCCTGTTTGGTGATGTTTGCCAGACATTTAAGGCTGGTGAAGAAACAAGAATCATTGGAAATGGGAAAGAAAGTTGCAGCTCAGCTGTGGGAGTGAAGCAGCAGTTAAAATGCATTCACTGTAGTGGTTCACCATGACTTGAAAAAGATTAGGTACTGAGGGGGAATGAGTGCAATGGGCACTGCTATATCTCTTTTTCAGATTAAACTGCGCTAACTTATTTTTGTGACAGGTTCCCTTTAGGATGTTTGTGCAATATGGGTCACGTTTTTTTATAGCTATTCTAGTGCATTGGGTGTGTTTAATCAGCTTCATAGTTTTCATTCCTGAGCACATGTTGCATTTGGCATCAGTTTAATGATAGACAATGTATTTAATAAGGTTTCGTTGTATGCAAATGTAAGATGATGGCTGTTACCCCCCATGCTGATAGCAGGGGCGGGAGGGGGGAAGGAACTTGTCTTATATTTTAGTAAATATGGTAAATACTCAGGCTATTATTAATGAGAGAGGGCTGAGAGCTGCATGGGGAACTTTTAGGTCATTTATAATCTAAAATCTGAAGTTTAATATTAGGTTGATCAGTTGATACAGAAAATTTTGCATCTAACTTAATATCCGATGGCAGGTAGAATTGATTTGGAACATATCAGTTATAAATGTAAGGATTTTATACTACACAAATCAAATGTTAGTGTAATGAGAGGACTTTGATATAAAATGAATATGTAAGTTTTGAATATGGTAGATTCTAAAAGTATAATCACAGTTAAGTATTTAAAGGAAATTTCAGTGGAAAAATCAGTGTAGTAAATTAAAGTGTTTCTGTAATGTTCTTCTGTATATCTTTTACTAGTGGCTATACTATACTGGTGTGCTCCATATCTTAGAGCTAAGGTTGTTCTTTGTCAAAAACCAGTGCAAAATGTGACAAAAGATTAGTATGTCCTGTAAAAGTATATTTAAAGGTTAAAAAAAAAGAGTGTGAAGGAATTTAAGTTTAATTCAGGGCTTCCTGTCTTCCTCATAGAACAAATATATAATTTGGGATTAGCTCTTGTGACAATTTAAGGGATCAGTTCTATTAATTGATGTTTCCAAGACGACTGGAAAGTCTAATGGCTTCTTCCCTTCCTCCTGCTTGTACTGAGTCTCTTTCACATACTTTAAATGGCTCTAACTGAAATATTTCAGAAATGTCTATCCTTAAATGACAATGTAGGCCTCTGACTCAGCACCTGATTAGTTGAGACTTACAGATAATTGGAAAAGGTGTTCTGTGGTGCAGTTCTTGTGTGATAAAAATAATCATATAGCATGTTTCAATCCACTTAGAAGCATAAAGTAATTAATCTACAGAAATCAAGGTTCTTGGTTATCCAAGAACATTCTTGTTTCTTGTACCCAGTTCAAAGAGATGTTAAACCTACTTAAAAGAAAAGATGGGCTCAGAAGAAAGAGAACATTTACATAGTTCTCAATAAAGTCAAGTTTTCAATATTTATACCTTCTACATTTCCAGATTGGCTCTTATTTGGGGATTAGTTAAACAGAGTTTAGTACTTTTGGTCTGATTCTGCTCAGCAGGGGCATTATATTTTATTTCTTTTTTGTTTGCTTTCTGCTTCTCTGTTGGATGGCCTTAACCAGTTTAGTTT